AACAATCTTTTCTATCCTGCATATAATTATTTTCAGTGCAAAACAAAACAACAAAATATGTGACATTTAGAGCCTAGGGCGAAAATAAAGCAGAACGGGTAAATTTTTCCTAGACCAATTTCTTACATCCAGAAAAGAGATTGTTTATATTCATAAAACTTTACTTGAGTAGAGAAAGGAAGAACATGAATCAGAATGATCTTTTTATTTCCAGACACAAGAAACAGCGACACCAAAAATGTTGGAACTCAGCCAAAGACTAGCTTTCCTCTACCCCTCCTACGTCCTAGCCATAGTCTCGCTAGGCTACGTCTGCGGAGAACTAGGTCACTACCTCATAGGCGTCACCAGCAAGGCCATCGCACAAGATCTCCACTTTGGTGACATCGCCTGCCAACTGAACCTCACGGATGTATATCTCAGCGAACTCCCTATACTGTGTTCCACCGCAAATGACTCCGAGACTTGCGAGTCGTATGTTTTGAATGGGACGAGGTATTGCGAATGGACCTACAATGGGCTTGGGCTGGACTATCAGATTTTGGCCGGTCCCAGCTTCATAGCTGTGTTCACCATCGTCGGGGTTGTCATGGGCTTTTTGGCCGATAAATTCAATAGGTAAGTTATAGCGGAGTATAATTGCAATAAGTACTTGCGTCAAAGCGATGAAATGATGAAAAAATTGAAGGCTGGGTCACCAAAACAAAGATTTACAGCGATAAAACTCTTCTTGAATCATAGGAGACTCTTTAAGACAACTCAAATGAATATGTGAATCAAATCTAACTAACCACCAATACAATGAACATATTCAAGTGAGTGAGTGAGTGAAAAAGTGAATTCCTTACTTCACTGATTCACATAACTTCACAAAAATAGGACGATAATATTTCAATTCAAACTATTCTTCAAATACCAACCATTTATATATGACATATAGAAATCTCTAGATCGCAATCAAAACTTATTCTATAATGAAACATTTTTATTTCGAATCAAGACATTATTCTGAATTTCCTTGAAATCGAAAAGAATAGATGTATTAGTGATGCATCTGGCCGCGTCAAGTAGATCAGCTATTGTTAACAAATACGACCTTAGTCATTTACGTACTCTGTTCATAATTATTATATGTACTTTCGAACATTTTTTTTGCTGAAACTCGTTAGTCAAATGATTAAATTTAATTAATTCGAAAATTGATATTCTGTACTTATATCGATGCATACAGTTGAGAGTATTTCGGAAAATAATCTTTTTGAATAGCACTCGACCTATCTGTATCTGTGAAGTAGTGAGGGTGAGTGTAGGCCCACAGCACTTAGGCCAAGTGTGACCCATTGTACATCATCCCAAGGAGTTGTCCTCCTAGGTCATTGTCCATCCTGTCCTTTACAAGAAGGCTGACAGGTCTTTGGGAGAAATCTCCTTCATATCGGCAGATATAGGACAAGACTCGCCGAACCCACACTCTCTGACACTTTCATCTTCCTGTTCACACATCCTGCGTGGAGGTGTGTCCACAAACTCTATGTTGTGGAGGTGTTTCCTTAGTTGACAATGGCCAGTCAGAAATCCTACTGTTAAGCGTAGATATTTTTTTCTGGTCATCGCCGGTAAATTTCTTCAGTGCCAGCTTTCCAGGGTCGCCCAGGGTGATCCAGGCCGTAGGTGCCACTGGGTCCTAAAATTCCAGCCGCTTCCTTGGCTAAAGAGTCGGCAATGCGATTACCTTTACTCATGTCATGCTTTTTAACCCACCTCAGTATAATGTTATTATCTACCGAGGCTTTGACTAAATCTTGGTACTCTAGTACTAGCCCTGAAGTTACACATTGCCTGTCCAAGGCTAATAGGGCTTGTCTGCTATCAGGCAGTTCTGTTTGGACCACGCTGGTATTTTTCCCATTCCCCACCTAATCCTTAGGTTTAGTGATCTGGAGTACACTCCACATCCTGAGCCTTCTTTGGTTTTTGAGTCGTCTGTACCTATATATGCGTATTGCATTTATAGCACCTGACTCAGTGTTCTGTATTATTTGCATTCTGTAGGGTTTATTAAACACAAACCTGGGTTCAATGGCATCCCTGGTTACCTGTAGCAGAGGTTGCGCAGTTAACGCTTCTCTCCATAGGCTCAGCCTCAAATGACCCATTCCTACTTCGAGGTTTACACCAGTCGTGCGCAACCGTAACATGGCCATTAACGCAACCTCCTTAACGTACAGATCCAGAGGGTTCAGACCAGTGATCAATTCCATTGCCGCGGTTGGTGTTGTTCTCATGGCTCATGTGATGTTTGAACAAGCCAGTCGCTGTTTGATATAATTTTTGGATGGCCGTTGCTTATAGAACGTTCGGTCCCCACGGTTCCGTTAACATAGGTCTTATTATTGCAATGTATATCCAGGTGACCACACGGTGTGAAAGACCCCATGCGCGTCCCGCTGTCCTCCGACATTGCTCATAAACCACATATGCTTTTTTTGCTCTACTCTGTAGGTGAGAGTTCCATGTTAGCTTCTTGGACCACCTCATCAGTCTTCTTGGGATTGAGCGACAGTAAGTGTTCGTTACACCATGTTTCTATTAATTTCAGCCCATACTGCGCTCTATCGCACAGTGCGTTCACAAATAAGGGGTGATAAGACCCCTCCCTGTGGACATCCCCTCATGACTTTCCTCTCACTGTGATGTCTTCTACATTGATATTTATTGCTCTACTAGAGAGCATCTTGAGTATCCATTCTCTTACTGCCAGGGGTACATTCCTGGAGTGTAGTTGCTGGATAATTGATGGAAAGGTTGTTTTATCAAACGCTCCCTTGATATCTATCAATATACCCAGGGTGTATTCTTTGTTGTCCAATGATCTCTCGATTTTGCCAACCACATGGTGAAGGGCAGAATCAGTAGACCTTCCTGGAGTATATGCATGCTGATTAGGATGAAATGGGTTGTGAACTAATACTTCATCTCTTATGTACCGCTCACATAGCCTTTCCATAGTTTTTTTTAAAAACCATGCAAGACTAGTTGGTCGGAATGCTTTTGGTAAGGTGTAGTCCGTCCTACCTGGTTTGGGTATAAATACTACTCGTACTTCTCTTCACTTACTGGGAATATACCTGAGAGCTGGAGAGGCTCTGAATATTCTAACCAGGTGCGGCATGAGAATATCCAGTCCAGTCCAATTGGGTTGGTCTTTTACCGTCAGGTCCTGGTGACTTAAAGGGGGAAAAGCCCCATATGGCCCATCTTATTTCGTCCTCATCAATTACTGCACTAGCAAATAGCCAGTCGTATTGTGAAGATGTTGTTGGTACATCCGTCCAGTTCGCCGTTCCAGGAAAGACAGAACCTGGGAAGTGAGTTTCCATAAGAATCTCAGCACTCTCTTGGAGGTGGGTGGCTTTGTCGCCATTTTCCCTCGTCAGAATGCCGATAATCTTATGGTGGTCATTTGAGAGTACCCTCTTCAGCCTAGAAGCTAGTGGGAAGTCTTCGACTGGCTTACAGTAGGCTCTCCAGGCTCCTCTTTGTTTTTGTCTGCAGACTTTGTTGAACTCTCTGAGGTTAGCTTGATATATACCCCAGTCCTCTTCGAGTCTCGTTTTGCCTTGTTGAAGATCGTTCTCGAAAATTGATATTCTGTTCTTATATTGATGCATCCAGCTGATAATATTTCGGAAAATAATCTTTACGAATAGCACTTGACCTAAAAATTTTCTCTAATAAACGAAAAAATTAGCGGCTTCCAGCCGCATCAAGTGAGTCGGGTGCCGGTTTGGCGGTCTCATGTCAAGGCACGATAGATTTTCACAGTGAAATCCTATTGTTGAAAAGTATGAGATTACGTTCTCTGTTCATATAATACAAATCAAAATTGTGTCTTCAATAATTGTAGGTTCAAACGAACGTTCCTGTTCTTGTTATCCAGATAATAAAATTAATTCAATTTGAGAATTGATATTTTGCTCTTATATCGAAGCATTCTTCTTTCGACAATAAAGTATATATTCAAGATGTTTTCCCTCATTTCCCAATTTTCCCAGCATCCTGACTTATTTAACCCATTATCATTCAATCATTCTTCATTATCATTTATTTTTAGGGTGAAAATGTTGGGTATCTGCACAGTGGTTTTCGGGGTAGCTATTATCATCAGCGGAGGTGTTACAGAATATTGGCAACTTGTCGTGTTAAGAATGATCATGGCTGCAGGAGAATCTGGATGTAATCCTTTAGCAACAGGAATTCTGTCAGATATTTTTCCTGAGGAGAAAAGAGCTCTTGTGATGTCCGTGTTCAACTGGGGAATATATGGGGGTTATGGTGAGTATACAAACAACTATAATTGTAAACAACTAGCTTCCATGTTGTATAGCTGTTTATTCAACGCGCTCTCGAAGTAAACTGAAGAATATCACGAATAACTCCGCTGGAAAGCCAAGTCGGTCTAATTGATGGGAACGATGTGTCTGTTGACAGTATAATTCGAAGGAATATCTATTCATACCGCCTATTTATACGCCCCTTCAAGTAAATACCTATTTGTTGGAGAATGTCTTGGTTACTGCTGGGCATATTTTAACATTTGTCATAGTAGATTTGTTATTTCGTTTGTTATGAATGATATTTTTCAAGAATAAATATTGTATTTTCGTCGTATAAACTCATTTATTCAATTCGGTGAGAGTAAATAATTTGAATGTTTAGAAATGAGAGAGACTACTGCTGTAGTCTCTCTCATTTCTAAACAGACAATAACATATTACCTAGAACTTATCTGTATCGTCAGAATCTCAATTGGATTTTTCATCATTCATATCAATTGATAATCATTTTCATTTTATTTTCCCCAGGTATCGCTTTTCCGGTTGGTCGCTACGTTCCACAAATGAACTCCTTTGATTTGGGTTGGAGAGTCACCTACTACGGAGCAGGAATCGTAGCCATAATCCTAGCTCTGCTAACATGGTTCACGCTGAAGGAACCCGAACGTACTGCCATAGGAGAAGCAGCGACGCAAAACGAGCAAGGAGACACTAAGAAAATCACCATCTGGGACGTCATCAAAGATCCAAGAGTCATCCTCCTGTGTCTGGCCGCTTCAATCAGGCATTGCGGTGGAATGTGTTTCGCTTACAACTGCGATCTTTACTATCAGACCTATTTCCCAGATTATGATTTAGGTGAGTGAATCATATTTTCAAAACAATCACTTGTCTCCAAGGGTTTCTAGAAAAAATTGAAGACGAAGAGATAGATACGAGGTCCGAGTTCATCATTGTTATCGCAGGAACAAATGTGGAAGCTATATACATTTTGATCAGATTCTGAAGTGTTACCATGGATAACCCATCCTGAATTAGTTTTAGTAGCAATTGGACTATGCTCAGAACCGTGATAAACTTTTCTTGCTACTTTCAAATGGATATTGTCCTGACTTATGAGAACAGTAGGATTTGCATCTACCACATCTTGAATAGGTAGTCCCTGAAGATGTACATAATCTTTGAAATTATCCATCACGATGGTTTGAGAAGGTAAAGACAATTTTGTTACTGTTCTCAAACCACTCATTTGAAATATTCTTGCCCCTTCATGAACCCCAGAAATGTTCATATTGATACATTTTGAACCTTCATCATATGAAACAATATTCATAGCTCCTTGCATGCATAAAGGTTTTGTTTCCCCTGGTAATCCTAGTTGTTCTGCGATCTGACTTTCTATCAAAGATATGGTAGACCCCTCATCGAACAGAGCATAAGTATTTATATACCCTTTTGGGCCATAAATTTTGATAGGAGCTATCCTGAGAAGAACTTTGGAATTATTGTTGGTGAGACACACTGTTTGAACACTTTCATCAATTTTTTCAGTATGAGAAAGTACATCAGAAACTTCACTTTTATGCAGAAGGCTATGGTGGCGTAATTTGCATCCTTTAAAGTCGCAGCGTTGTTTTGATCTACAAAACCTCTTTGAATGACCAGTTTTCAAACAACAGAAGCAAATTTTGGTTTTGTGTAATTTTGACCAACGAATATCTATACTATCATTTTTCAATATGGAACAATTGTTAATTTCATGACCAGTTCCATCCCTATTGCCAGTTCTATTAGACTGTACATGAAATCCGGAACCTTTCCGCTCTTCTATGGGAACTGTTTGTATAATTTCCAACACCTGAGTTGCGTCTCCTTGCTGATGAGAAGACATGAAGATATTTGACTCTGAACAGTGTCATGAATTCTTTGAATATCACTATCTAATGCCAGCGGCCAACGAACATAATCATCAAAATTATTGGTCTTGCCCGCATTGTTTTCCTGAGATCTTCTTCGATATTCAAACATGTTTCCTTTTCAGTACTTATTTGTGGACTGTATATTCTATATTTTGATATCTAATCCGGTTAAAGGACCATGTAATTTCCTAAGAAATTGTATTTTTCAAGAAAATACCAAAT